AAAAAAAAAAAAAAAAAAAAAAAATTGTTGTGGGGAAGCATCTGTTTCCCAAGTTGGTGTCCATTTTTGTACATTTAAAAATATTCCCTCAAAAATTGTATCTTGATATTCCTTTCTTGTGATTTATATTGTCAGGAAACAATAAAATCTCATTGTAAACCCTGATTTTTACATTGTACTTCAGAATTTTTATTTAGGTTTCAGAATAAAAAACATCTTTCTTGTTTTCTTCTTTCTTAAGCAATGTTGATTTCTGTAAGTGAGAACTTACTGCATGGCTGCGTGTTAGATGTTTGCTCTGTTTACATTTGGCATTTATGCTTGTAGGTTTGAATATTGGGAACAGAGAGAAGACAGAGAGAAGCAACAAAATCACTTCAGAAGCTAGTTTTTCATCTAGTGATGGAAGAAGTCCTTTATCAAGGTAAAGTCATTAAAGTGTTTCTTTTTGGCCTTAATAGAATAAGAAATGCCACCAAATAAATAAAACTCTTTGAATATGTTATTTTATGTGACTTGAACAAGGGTTAAGGTTCCTGTTTGTGTTTATGTAATATAACAACTTAAACTTTAGTACACCTTAGAAAATATTTGCACCCAAGCCAGGTATTGTTTTGCAGCTGTTGTGTTCTCATTTTAAGACTCAATTGACATCTCAGTGAACCACAAATTAGCGTGTACAGCTGCTCTCAGTAGGGCTACTTAGAGACCAGACAATAGAAGTTGTCAGGAAAAGGACAGGCATAACACATAAAGTCTTGAAGAAATAAAGTGGTGTGTTTCTTCATGTTGATGTATCTGAAATGTAAACTAGTTGTAGCTCAATACGTGTTTTTGTATTTTTCTTTAAAGTATTTGCCACTAAAGTATTTGCTACTTTTGTCTTGTTTTACTTTCAAACTGAGTACATTTAATTAATGGCCTTGCATTTTCCTAAAGGGTGCAATTTATCTCTTTAGATTTGTTAAACTGCAGCACTTTCTTTCTATCCTTTTGAACAGTACTGTGTTAGATGTTGCTTGTATTTGTCATCAGCATGAAATACTAATCAAACAGTGGCAATAAAATTAGTGGTCAAGGAGGAGTAGAAAATATAATATACAGTAATATTATCATCTTATGAAATTTAAGCTTGGGTTTAAATTGTTATCTGAATGCTTATTAAAACATTATAGTAAGTGGGTTCTGCTGTTATCTGGTTCCCTTTCTGAAAACTGCCATTTATGACATTGATAAAATACTTCTAAGTATTTTGATAATTATTTGACCCTATCTACATTTATAGCGTGCTTGTTCTTTTTTTCCTCTCTTTTACTTTATAACATTCCTGATGACGTTTATTGGTAAAGTGTTAATTGTGTTGTTGGAAATTAAACCAATTGTGCCAGAAATGTTAATGTTATATTTTGCACTGATTTTATATTTTTATTTTAAAAGCCACAGTATTTTCTCTAACTCTTGTCTGATAAATTTAATGTGAATTAGGTAATAAATTACACATTTATAATGTTAAATTATATTTTTATTTAAAATAAAACTATAGATTTTTTTATGCCTTCAATTTCCATTTTTTGTAACTTAATTTCTTCCTGGGAGAAGGATTCCATAAGAAAATAAATCCTAATATGATGAAATGCAGAGGCATTCTTACAAATATATATGTTTTGCCAGATTTTGCTCCCATTGACTTCAGTGTGGGAAGGATCAGGCCATTAATGTTGAACTTAGTAGCTTAATTCTAAAATCTGATGAGTATTTGAACATATTATAATGGACTATGCCAAAATATTTTGTGTATTTATTTTACTGTTTAGCATGTTATAGTGCTTGCTTAAAATGTGTGTTGGCAGCTTTCAGCACTACTCTAAATGCTAGTCAAATGTTACAAATGGCTTAGTTTTAATTTTACCTTTTTCAATTCACATGCACACCCGGTAAATTTTGGAAACCATTTGTTGTACCTAATAATTTCATGCCTTTGGGCTCTCAGAAGCAAGCACACTTCATACTATGGTAGATTAAGCCATTTTTAAAGGCTTATTTTTTTTTAAGCAACACCATGAAGTCAGTTTCCTAAATACATTAGAAATAATATGCCCTTTTAAACAGAGAGTCTATTAGTAACACTTGCCGCTGGACACTTGACATCAGTCTTACAAAGATATTTGGAAACACGAAGTAGCAAAAGTAGCATGAAAGAATGGGAAATAGAGAGCTCAGGTGGTTGCTTGTTTGTGGTTGGGATGCAGTGAAATTTCTTAGAGGCTTACATTTAAGGATTCCACTTATTGCAGTCACTTCTTGTGCTTTATTGCTTTTACAAGTGGTCTCGAAACCCAGTACTTGAGAATAAACATAACTGTGTAGTACTGCTGTGGTACTTTTTAAAAATTCTTCTTTGCTCTATTTTGTCACTGAGCTGATGAGTGACCTCGAAAAAGACCCTGCTGGACCTAAATAAAAAAAAATGGCTTCCTCTGATGTCCTAGAGACAATAATTATGATGTGCCAGTTAAGCCCAAACTACAGCTGAGGGATTTTACTTTAAAGCAGAGGCTTGGGCGCAAAAATGCATTTATAGCTCTTTGTCTGGCACCTCATTATGTGTGGGCCTGATTCATTAAGTAATTGGTTTGCAGTTGTTTACATGAGTATTAAGGCTTTCTATTCAGCAGCCTTTGAGAGATACATTGTGCAAATGTTGCATGTTATGAATGCAGAATGAGGGGCAGAGGACCAGTCCTATTGGCTAAACACTGCACTCTGTTGAAAAGCAAGAGAAAGAGATTGGGTGCTGCTTTGCATAGCAATGACTTTCTTAATAAGCTTTACAGATTAATACACACAAGCTATAAAAGATGCAAAGAGATACTCTTAGCACATTTATACATGCTCATTTCACTATTATGGTACTGGAGATGGGAAGAATTGAGTTCTTTCATATTCAGTTTTTCAGTGCAGTGTCTTCAGTGCATGAGACTTAATAGAATCCGATGTTTATTGTATTATAAATCATGGGGAAGTAGGCAGATCTGCAACAGTTTATTATTAAAGATTCTTTCAATGTAAATCTTTTTCTACTATTGTATTTCCTACAGCAAAATCATTTTGTGGTTGAGTGGGGATGAAAGGCATAATGTACGAAGGAGTGAGTCTTAATAGGAAGCTGCTCTCTGAGTAAAGACCACTTGTTCCCTTTTGTTCAGAGGTGCATGCCAGAGCTTCCTCTTCTCCAACAAATATTGTCCTGTTTTACCTTAGGTATAAAACTACTTTTTCTGGATTCATTTAGTCCACCAAGAATATGCTTAAACTATCTGTGATTGCAACTTTAGTTTGAAGAGTACAATGTTGTGCAAAAGAAAAGAATGTGTTGAAGTAATATAATTACTTGGGGGAAAGGTATCATAAGTCAGGACTGAATCTCTCTGAAAGAGTGTGCAGAATACGATGTGTGTGGCATTTTGTAGTCCTGTAGCAACAGAATCAGCCAGTGGAGGTCAGTAGCATTCTAGATAATTCTGTATTTTGATGCAAGCAATTTATTTTTGTAGGCTTGTTTGCTTTGTCTCATACTCTGAAGACTAAAGATACATTATAAATAGAGCGACCCAAATAAGACCATTAGTTTGTCAACATATAAAAATTGAATAAAGTATTTTCAGTTTTGAGGAAATTGTATTCTGGAACAAATCCATTATGTTCCTTGTGTCCTGTTTCTCAAGCAAAATTATCTTATTATTTCTTTGTTTATTTTAAGAAAAGAAAATTGCCTATTATAGTTAATCTCAGTTATTTTCAAGAGAAATACTTAATAGTGTTCTGTCTGTAACACCTTTAAATGCCACAGTACACTGTGTTGCAGGTAAGCAAATTGACCATCAGGGGGCACTCAAACTTTACTGAACTAAAACAGCTCTCAAAATTTAGTCCTGCCACTTCCTATTAATAATTTATGTTTTTATAGCACTTAATTTCAGTCTTGTTTATTTCTTGTCAATTTATCATTCATTTGTAAGGGAAAAAATGTTCCCCAAAGTTTTAATGAGAGATACTAGAAGTTTGACTATTCAGTATATTCATTTTCTAGAAAGATTTTCAGTAACTTGAATAATGATTCAAAGCAGTGAAAGTGAAACTATTTGAATTTATTTTCAATGATTTATTACACTTCTAGTAATCTATAAAGAGAGACAAACTTAAGTAAATTATTGCCTAAATGAGTTCTTTTCTTGTTTTGTTCCATCATAAATGTGTAGTTTTAATCTTCAAAGCACTTTGTAAAGGTACACATTAAAAATAGATTTCAGGGCTATTTCTTAACATTGTAGACTAAGCAGGACAATTGCAAAATTTATTATAAGACATATTTTCTAAATCTTAACAGTTTGTCGTTATCACTTGTACCAACCAGTCAGGACCTTTGTTAAATAGTTCATAAAACTTCTATAAAGACACCGTACATACTAGTTCTGTAAAGTTACTGAAATGTTTTCTCATGATAGATGTTATGCTTTGTTGTTAGTCACCAGTGCAGGATGCATTTGGCGAAATTCATCGCTCCTGGCAGAAAAATAGAATAAATGGCTTGCTTTGGCAGTGCATACACTAAAATTGGAACTAAGCAGAGTCAGGAAGAATGAAAATCCCACATACCCAAAACTCACAGCCCTCTAGCATCCACTTTCCCTGTCTAGTCACTGCCCTTCTTGTCCCTTGCTTAGAGGTTTTCAGACCCCAAGATACAAACTTACATAAATTTGGTAGCTCACGGCTCCTATATCAGTCTCTTTTTAGGTCTGCCTCTGAGATTCTCTTTGCAGTACAAAGGGGGCACATGGAGACTTTCTCTGGAACCACATCACATGTTCCCTCTGCCTAGTTTCTTCATGGGGTTTAGGTGGGGCATGGTAGAACTTTTATGGACCCTTGTCAGCTAGATGAATTTTATCCTTTGTATATAAGTTGCTACAGGCTTAGAATGTGAGTGCAAATGCTCTCTTTTTAATGTACCTATCTGCTGCCAGCCTGGTAACTGGAGAGAGAGAGTTTGGTCTTAAATGAGTGTACCCTTCTTGTCTTAAATCCTGGTATAACATGTTCTTGGAATCCTTTGTTTTAGTGTAGTCTTCCGTTCTAAATTTAAATTGGACATAGTTAATAGGAACAAATCTCTTATCATATACCAAGAATTATATTCCCATCTATTTTTCTTTCAGTGCATTTGTCTGATTTTCCTTCAAAAACAGTAGATCAAATGTTGCTTGCTGGTTAAAAAAAATACAGAAAAATTATTTTCATTCACTTATACTTACCTTGAACTTGCTCTTTGTTCACAGAAAAAGAATAGCCTGAGTGTGAGCAGGTTTTTATTATTATTTGCAGAGAAATAAATGATCATGCAGATGGATAGAGAGATGAACA